TTATTCTCGCGTGCTGGGACACATCGTAGCATTTTGGTTGTCCGAATTACAAACTACCCTTTGATTGGTTTAGAGTGGAAATTTTCCAGTTTCACGGTACCGCAAGTTTCTCGCCAAAGGGAATCCCCAGGCCAACTAGTGGAGCTTTGCTTTGTGAAGTTTCCCTGCATAAGTGATGAATAAATAAATGATCTGCCATGCAAAACTTGGTAAGAACAAGCAGGACAACATTTTGAAATTAAAATCGAGAAGCTTATACGCATACAAGGCTTTGAATATCTGGAAGTAAAACTGTCCTGAACTGTTTCTTAATATTACTAGCCCGCAAAAATCTGTTCTTTTGTAATGATCTATTATCATGGCTGTCAAAATAGGATTATCAAAATACACAGTTTGCTAGTAGGAAAGATTCATCATTTTTCAGAATACATGCCGCGAAGCTTCTATCTCGTGATGAAAGGCTCTCAGTAACATTAATTGGCTCGGCGCGGCTTGCAGTCAGCGTGAAACATGAATCTCAACTTCTAGGGTAGTTTTTGGCTGAAGAGAAAAATTAACTGACTCCATAGTTTCGTTTACATTTTGATTAAAAATAATAAATAAAGCGTTAAATTTTGAGTTTTGAAAGTCAGTGGTGTGCATGCGTAGCACGTTCGCCATTCCGTTTGGAAATATTTATTTACTACTTCACTGCTTTGGGGGCTGGTCAAGACTYTTTTTTATATGGATAGACTCGTTTAGCATTACCGGATCTCGCAATTATTATTCATGAAAATGCGCGCTGGAACGTCAGCGAAATTCCTGTTAATACTAGCTGCACAACAACCATATATTATATAACGATCGATATCGACTGTAATCATGGGAAAACCTATATTGCCGCAAGAAAAAAAAGGGAAAAAAAGAAGAAAAAAAAGAAAAAGAAAAAAAATTAATTCAAATCTCATATGGCCCATGCTTCGATTATATTAATTAAAAAGGCGTTTTATTAAACTTTCATAGGTTCGTTCACACACAAGTATATTCGGTCAAAGGACCAAAATTCCCAAGCCGTTTCTCAATTCTCAACGTTTTTCCCTTAAGGCAAAAAAACTTTCCTCGAGGCTATTGGTACACTTTTATAAATTGAATATTAAGAATGAAGTACGAGTGATGCTAATCCAGATATCGAGTCTGACTCCCTCGAGTCACTCAGTATTAATGAGGCCATTCGCGGCACATCTTTATATTATCAATCAGTATTTCCAAATACAAGTGCGCAAATATTGCACCAAAGCAGCATAGTTTTTTAAGCCTCAGTATTTTTACTACTTGAATATTATTGTAAATGGAATTATGTTTGCATGTGCATGGGACATTTTGATATCAAAATTTCTAACACTGAAATGGTTGCCAAAAGTGCAAAAAATTAAATAAATAAATGGTAATGATTGTCATACTCACTCAGAGATTAATATTACAACCAATATATCGGCGCTGGCACTATAGATTTCCGCAAATCTTGTTTTAAGTAATAATTTTTAAATTGGAAGCTATTGGATCTGTCTCTTTTCAAGTGCTCGACGGATTTATACGATAAAAAATAGTTGTGAACCTCTGAGGGTTTCAATGTATATTCTACATGCAATACTCACGACTGATTCTCATCGTCACTAACACGGTTAGTACCGGCGGCCTCGCGGGACGAAGGTTCAGTGCTGTAGGCTGTAGTCGTGTTATTAGAAGCGAGTAGCCCAGTAAAAAGTGCTGGCCAGATCCAAATCTGCCACCATGGAAATAAATCCATCCTAATAAACATACAAACAATAGTAAATTGAAAAATATATAAAGAGTTTCATTCTTTGTCTTGGGCAGAAATGTTTTGGTTAAATTCTCGTAAGCAACTAGAAAATATATTTATATATTTACTATTTCATTGTGTAGTATGTCAGTCTTACGTACCTCATTTTCGAGAAGCCGACCTAGCAGATTTCAGCACTTGTCTGGGGTCTTAATGAGTGTTATCTTCGGAAACGTTTCAACGGAATATAATATAATAATCAATATACTATATATATATATCGTGACATGTGGTTCAGATTGACATGTTGCCGGTCTTGTGTATTATTCTACGCATGGAGTGAAGAAAAGGTTACCGTAGATTTAATAATGAAAAGAATGCTAAAGAAGAGCTCCCGTTGGGATTATAAACTTCTGGCAATAAAAGCCACAGAAAATCTTCAATGAATGGCTCTGGAAAACTACACGGGTGCAACAAAAAGGTTGGAAGAGCCGGTGCATAAATCAAGAAATAGAATTTTCACCTTTAGTCTCGAATTCGTTTGAGTTACCACGAAACAATGGTTCCATGTCGAGGTAGGACTTGTGATGTGTTCATACATTTACTATATTTTATCAAGACCTTGAAATTGTCCTAGCCGAGAAAAGATTTCGTTGTTGTTTTCGTTAGGTATAAATCCCTAACTAGTAATCTTTTATACGTACGCCAACCTCGACTTTGAAGTATTGCTTAGCGGTAACTCAAGCGAATTCGAAAAAGGTTTACGTTTATGAAGTTTTAACTAGAAAAAAATGTGCCTTGTGTTTATATTGATATAAATAAGTCCAGTGTTGAGTATATATTTTTTCTTTTGTGATTTTGATGAAGCGTAAGACTCGAAGTGATTAGGTCGCTGTTGGAGGTGTATATCTAACCGGAGATATGCTGAAATTCCCCTCTGCGTTCATAGCGGAATGCAAACGAACCAACCGGTTTTCCAATAGAGTTCACTATAGTTTCGAGAAATCTAATTTTTCATCCAGAATTTAATAAACCACGCATTTAAAAGTGACTTCAAAATTTTATCTCCCCTTTTTTTCAAATGTCTGTTATTTTGTCTATTTTATACTATTTTTTCCCCCAAGATTGTTGATCGTTTGATGGTCTTGTGCCATGGTTCATTCATGTGGCGAAACCAAAATGATTTTACAATGTCTTCCACTTTGATTACTATTGTTATTTTTGACCATTAATTTACCGGCAAACTTCGGCAGACTTTGAATCCACGCCGGCCGGTTGTTTTATACTGAAAATCTCCTTTTTGTTTTCCTTGTTTTCGCTGTATTATTATTAGTGTTGGATTGATTAATTTATGAACGTTAGTCTATAGAATGTCTTAAACCCTTATTGCTTGTTCTGTCTTTTATTAAATAAATACGATTCTGCAAGGATTTAATGATCTATTTGCTAGTTTATCCTTGCTATTAGTCTTTTTTTATCATTACGTTGGATATGAGAATTCCTTTCATTGTTTCAAAGGAAAACCTAGTTGAAATAGTTTTAATTTTTCTACCAATCAAAGCTCTCAAACTGGTCTCAATTGAAGATTAGCGACTCATTGAGTATGGCATTTAAATGGCTTTCTTTATTTATGGCAAAGCCAATAAAATGTACGCTACTCGATCAAAAAAAAAAAACGTTTCTTTTTCAAGCCTTTTACAGCTGGCAAACTAACAAACTTAGTAAAAAATATTATTGCGCGTTACCCGTTTTTGGGTTAACATTTTTATTTCGTTAAGAAATATTTTTCAAAAAGTATAAAACAGGTTTTCCGACTCCAGCATAAGACTTTTAAATTTTTATTATAATCCATCATTTTGATTGGATGTGGTGTATGTATTATTCTGATATACTTATTTCAATAAAGTTAGTCACCAAAAACCTAGAAAGCTGTGATCGCTGAGAATCATGGTGAAATATTTCATATCCAACAAGTAAAGGTTTCGACACAAACTGCAGCAGTTGAGGATGCTCAGAGGAGGTTAACTTGTAACTGGTAGAAGATTTCAAGTCCATCAACAGTTATCAAGCGGTTAAAACATGTAAAATGTATCTACCCATAATCCTTGTCGGTCTCAGCTTTGTAGCTTTTCAGGTGACTAAATTTATTGAAATAAGTGTATATTGGTTAATAGGAAAGCCAATTGAGAGTCAGCCCAAATTGGTTTTCTCTAAATGAATTGAATCGTCTACGCGAGCTGTCCAAGTCCCTTATTAAATAAACTTGGCATTACTAAGCTTACATTTACTTCTATCCATACTTCTTTATCAATTAAAAAAATTAAGACCAAGAAAAGTTAATAAAGCCAATCTAAGTTGATATTTTCTTCCTATATTTATGATACTCTAAAAAAAACATAAAGGCGGGAAACTACTGCATCGATATGAATACGGTACCCGAATTAAAAAAGAAAACCAATTAATTCTGTATCAAATGTCCCCAGCATTTTAAAGAGGGATATCGTAGTTTACTCATGACCGAATGTCAGGGTCGAAACACCAACTGATATATCAAGAGCGGATCCAGCCAACTGATATACAGACAGACAGACAGACAGACAGACAGACAGACAGACAGACAGACAGACAGACATATTTTAATTGGCGTTTTGTACATAGTTGCATACATCAACTTATATATCAAGAGCGCATCTGGCCAGAATTTTAAGGGGGGGGGGGGCTAATTAAGTTTCTTCCGTCAACACAACGGAAAACAATAAAAAAAGCATCTAATTCTTCAGGTTTGTTTTGTTTTGTTTTTTTTCTGCTGAAGGGGGGCCCCTCTTTGCCCCCCCTGGATCCGCCCTTGTATATATATATATATATCTTAAACCCTCCCACTTTTACGAACTGACTTTTTAACTGTTTTTTTGTTTTGTTTTGTCTTGTTTTTTTTTTTGCAACGGAACTATCCAAATTAAGAAATATGCAATAAAAAGTTGGATAATAGTAAAGTCATATGTAAATGAAAAAGTTTGGACATAAAAATTCATAAGACTTCCGGGTAAATGATTTCACAATTAAAACCGTTTAATATTTCTTTTGTCTTCAAAATCTTAAAAAGAAACAAAGAAGGAAACTAACAAATCTACCGAAAACAAATTCGTTAAAGTGACTCATTGGAAAGATGTGTATCAAGACGAAAAACGGTATTTTTTTCTGAATTAAGTGGATAAAAATTGACGAAGCTATTTGTCTTTGAGGCGTCCTTAATAACATTCTATAATTAAATCTACTAAATGCTTCGTGCCGAGAGAATAGCTCGATATTAAGAGAACACTTTAATGAATAGTTGTAGTAATATCATTGTAATCCAAATTAACAATGGTACAAGAGATAATTTTCAATTGATATTCTCCGCGCAGCTCGTCCAACAGCAGTTAGATGTCACTTTGATAACTATAGCTTCGACAAAATTTGGAGGGAAAAAAGGAGTTTTTAATTTATTTCCTCAGTGAGCTCGGTTTTTGTCAAGTTGGATATTTTTTTCTATTTAGTGCGGTACGTTTTTCCACCAGAAATTTTCTAGTAATTTGTAATTCTTTCCCCAAGATGTCGAGGTTAATCTAAATGAAATCCCTTTTGAATACCAATTTGTTTCTTCCTCTGCAGTATAGAATAAGAAAATGTTTATTACATGACTTACGGTCTTCAATATTTTCTACTCTCTCTATGTTACGGTATTTTTTGCTACTGTTATAAAATATCCTCGGTTCTTGCATTGGTCGCCAGTCCTAATTTATTCAACTTCTACACAGACAATAAACATAGTTACTGTAACACTCCTACCTCAGAGGAACCTCACTACATGACAATAAAGGATCTAAAAAGTCATGACTTTATTCTCGGTAAAATAAAAGCCAATTTTGCTATTCACGAGTATGCCAGTAGAGCCATGTGCACTGCGGGTCTAGATCTTGAGCGCGTTTTAGCCACGCACTGTCAGCAGTACTTGGTAGCTCGCGCGCAGCAACAGAGTTCAATTTTGCTAGAAGAATACTAGCAAAATACTTCAAAAACTGGGACAAAACCAAACGAATACTGGAATTTGAATTGAATATGAATTATCATTGCTAATATAARATCACAATTTTACATGTTTATCAGTTTTAATTTTAAATATTCTTATAATTTCTAACTTGGTCTTTAGACGACATTAAAAAATCTATTTCGTTCAATTAGGAAGTGAAAATTCTTTTCAGAATTAGCAATATCCTGGCGTAAATAAACATTCACTGACCGAATGTTATATGAATTAAGACATCTTTGATTCTTGCATTTTAAAACATGTTGGTTTTGTTTTATTCAAAAGCGGTTAAATTTACCATTATCCATGATATGTTTATGAATATATCTTGCATGTGTCATGACGAGATATCTTCTCACTTTCTTGTTTTTGAAAACATTTCGAGTTAAAATATCCATATGAGAATAATGGCAAARATATTTTCACGCAAATCATTGCAAAAAACATCTTTTAATTTGCATCTAGAATCAAGTTAAAAATGACTCTTAAAATGTCTTTCAATTTGCTYGTGTATAATTGTAAGAAATATAACGTTCGAGCCTCTGATTTCTTAGTCGTAATATTAAATGCCATATTCTTCAAGTTACCAGTGATTTTAAAAAAACGATATGAAAACTACATCTTTAGAAGTATTTTGATAGTTTTTGAAGGTTTTGTAGTTATATGAGATGTTTTTGTCATAACGTTAGATTTGTATGACTTTTAAAGTTACGACAACATATAAACAAATAATTCCATACCTAAGGAGTCTGAACATTAATCTTTTCCTCTCAGGAGTGTGCCAGTGTGCGGCCAGTTTTGTCTTTGAGTAAACTGGAGTTTTAGTTCATGTACTCTTACAAGACAAAGACACTAGTAACTGAGGAAGATGATTCACTGTGGTAAAATAACTATACGGTTTGGATTTGAATCCGAAGGTCAAGTTTTAATGTTTTGCACCTGCCCAAAGACCTAGGGAGCCCTCCTACTGCTGTGCCAGTGTAGGACATGCAAATGTGTCATCGATGAGTCGTCCATATAAAAAAACGGCTCTAAAACCCCCCAAAATACTAAATTAGTAACTACTGAACAGCAAAATATACACACATGAAGGAAAATCAATATGTTTTAAGATAAAGATGGTTTTATTACGAAAAAGTACTCAGAAATTTGAAGAAAAATGGATTCACGCGTTCAAGAGATTCGTGTTGTTAACACGCAATTAACACTTTAAAATATATATATATAAAACAAATGAGAATCTTAGCCTGTGTTTTTGGTCTATGAAGGAATATCTAAAACGTTTGTTTTTTTTAAAAGGTTTTGAATAAGGAATCGATAGCGGTTACAGGATAAAGAACTCGCGTGTTAGCAGTTCAAAATCCATTAACTCCTCTCAAAGAATGGAACTATTCGACGAACACTTTACGCAAGAAAAACATTTAAAAAAGAAAACCCACAAAAGCCACAATGCTTATGCAACTGTCGTAATAAATAAAGAAATACATTACTTGCGATTAGTAAGAATTATGCATTTATCATGACTTATTTTTATTTCATAACTATATAGTTGTTTTATTTATAAAATTATGATTAGTTAGTACTTATAGGTATGTGTTGAAAAATGTTTTTATTTGTCATTAATTGATTTCGTTTTGGTGACTCATGCATAAGCGTATGGTTGTAGTTTTTTCCCCTCTTTGGAAATTTCTTTCTGTTGCAACTTAGCATTCAGGAATAGATTTGTCTTTTGCAGGGAATGAGAGAGTGAAACATTTCAGAAAGCAATGCAACTTTTCCCGTGATATTTGGTTTATTCAGTGGGTGGATTATTGTTGTGATAGATGCAATTTAACGCAAAATTCGGACAAAATGCCAGTATGAGGTATCACAGTGGAAAGAGAGAGAAAGAGAGAGTAATTCTTAGGTCAGCCAAGGTCATTAGATTACCTAGTTATTGAGTGGGGGGAGGGGGGAGTAACCAGAGACCCCTTTTTCGTGCTAGCTTATCAATCCGCATTCAATAGTAAACATTTTCATCGTTCTCTCAACCAGTTTGTGGCGGATATGTCATGCCTTAAATAATGCCCGGCCTGCATGCTTGAGCTACTGAATCTCTTGGATCTTACTAAAATGCAAATGGAATTTTCGATTTATCATGCTGCATTCGAATGCATAGGAAGATACACTTCCATGCATGTGGAGCCGGGCGGATCGGATAGCAATATGATGTAGCCTTAGTTGCTGTTTTAGTAATGCTATCAGAAAACTAGCTACTCGATGAATTTATGACAAGGATGTACCTGTCTGATTTCCCCGTGTTTTGTAGGTTAATTGCGGTCAATTGCGCCGCATAGTGAGTATTTGAGTAGATACTAGAGTAGATGAGAATATGATATGGATCTCTTAACACCTATATATTGAAAGGACATTTAAAAGGAATAAATTAAAGACAATGAACACTAGAAATATGGACAATAAGACTTCAGTAATCTTCCTTACATCAAACTATTGTATTGTCACATATTTCCCTAAGGCGGTTTTCAGCAATCTAAAATTTTTCAAGCTAATACCTAACGAATCAGTTTATTCAGAATTATATATTTAGATATTTTTTGTAAGATATGAAGGATGGATCCAGAATATTTTTTCTAGTTGAGTTTGAGTACTCATGATTCCAATAGAATATTCTTTCTCGGTCATAAACTCACTGGGTTAAAATATTGGGTTTATTTAAACTATTTATATTTATCAGTATTTACTTAGAAAAGGAAAGGAAGAAAGAAAAAAGAAAGAAAGAAAGAAAGAAAGAAAGAAAGAAAGAAAGAAAGAAAACCGGCGGAAGTATAATATTAACAAGGCGTTCCAGGTGGAAGTCTGGTGACGAGGAGGTGCCTCGTGGCGCGAAATCTCAAATCCAAGATGGCGGGTTATGCGGAGTGAAAGAGTGAACAAGATGTCGAGATGGATTAGGCCAAAATACAACGAACAATGTAAAGAAAACGCTCACTTCATCAAGAAATCCGTCTCGATAGACAGTAGGAAGGCACCAGAGGGATTTTGGTTGGAAATTTTGAGGGAAAAATGCCCAGAAGGTGAGTAGCTTCGTTGTATTGTTGCCGTTCAGCTCACAGCATGTGTTGTTTGTGATATTGTCATGTATGAATTATTTTGATATACGTATTGTTTAACGAATTTTACCTCTTATGACAGGTGAGGTATTGTTTTCACGTCATTACACTCTGACACAGCTTTGCTCTATACGAGTTTTAGGCTGTTTGAAAAAATTAAAGGTTTTTAAAATTGTAACACGAAAGCTCAACTGTACTTGAGCTGTAACGAAATTCATGAAACGATTTTTTTTTATCAAGTTACGACATGTAAGATCTTTTCATCTATATTTGCAAATCTAACGTTATTTCAAGATTTATATATGCTTGTTTTTGTATTTCCTGGTGTATTGGGTACTATCGTCGTGTACGGATTAACGAAGTACGTCATAGGTTTCCGAACACACGAGTGGGACTTAGAAATTTTGGTTCTCCTCACTTAGAAAAAAAATTAAGTGAAGACACCAAGAATCGAACTCGGTACCTTCGGCACCAAAGAACTACTACAATGCCAACCCCAACCCTAACCCTAAACCTAACCCCTAGACCACGAAGTGAATTCGGTTGGGTGGTCTCATTTTTGAGTCATATTTAAACGATGTATCATCAGCGCGTGCACATAAATATTTATTATAGTTTAATTTATGCTATCGTAGGGTACGATTACTAGCCGATTACTTGAAATTTGAATTTGAATAGAATTCCCCTGACAATTCCCGTACACGACGATACAACCGTGAATTGTCACACCTTAGCTATTACATAACTGGATGATGATAATAACAATAACTATGACTCATAACCTACATGCACATATTTCCAGGGTGTCCTAGGTTGCTTGTCTTCTTCCCATTGTCAATGTAGCTGCTATGTCCATGTTTTTAATGGGGGAAGGGAAGAGATGATTTGTTGAGGTTAGTGGAGACATATATCAACCATGATGGAGACTAAGCCCCCTCCCCCCAAACACATTATAATGGAAAATCCCATATGCACTATGCAAACAACATAAAATTTCAAGAAATTTTGCATAAATGTGCGTGAAAATGAAAATGCAGAATTTGATTCAAATGCAACATTCTTGTTTATTTAGGACTTGGGAAAACTAGTGAAAATTTGAAAAACAACAAAGATCTAGTGGCTAAGGATTTCCTGGATGATGAAGATGCCTTCCTTGTCAAAGGAGCTGCAGTGAAATACCCTGAATGTGATGAACAAAACAATTTATTTGCTAGAACTCCAAGACGATTATCAGTGGTAAATGAGGAAGTAAAACAAAATGCCTTTCCCTTCACTGCTGAGGAACAAGAAGATAACATTGGGTCATTACGACATGGTTTCAAGACTCCTGTACTACCAAAACACAATACATCCTTGTCCAGTATTACTGCTACACCCTGTCTTTTTAGCCCTGAATTGATAAGTCAATCCACACAAGGTATTAAACTTAGAGTACAGTCTTTCTATGCATTAATGACTAGATTTATTTATTATTGGAATTGGCAATGACTAGGGATTATAGAATTTATGAGTACAAAAGACCATCTCTCTGTGTGCAGTGTAGCTCACAAAACAATCTGTTGATGTACATCTCTATGGAAGGTAAGGGAGTAAACTTGCTATATTTTATTTCTCTTTCCATCAATCCCTTAAAATTTACCAAAATAATTAGATATATAAAGGACCTGTACTTCTATTTTCTTTCTAAATGAAAATCTTTTCATTTACTTGTCTTAAACAGATGTTACACCTAAAAATCAGGTGTTGAATACAACTCCTTGTAGAAGTGAAACTATCTCAAGATTACTGGAGTCGCAACCTTCATCATCTCCAGCTCAGTCACAGTTTTCTTGTGTGCACAATAGCCAAGAGAATGTTTATGAAAAGAGCCCAGATATTCTTGCTCTGATGGTAAGTTTCATTTGTTGGGACCTTTTATTGGTGCCGTTTGAATACAATCATTTGGTTATTAAGATGTTATAACACAAGACTTTAATTTTCAAGGTTTTGTTTGAAGCATAGGACAACATTTGCATTCAACTTTGTAAATCATCACAATTTTTTATTTTATAAATTTTATTATATATTTTTCATCCCACAGATTGCAGATAATAGACCAAGAAGTAGTCTAGCATTGCTTTCAGCAGCAAGTTCTGATGATGAAATTGATGGCTGGTCTGATTCCATGGCAACACCACCAGTACAGTGGAGTCCATCACAAGAAGGTGAACATGATTAGTTTTTGTTAACCATGAGTAATATATGGTGAATTATTGATATGGTATACTTCAGGGGGTTTCATCTTATGGTGTAAATTTAGTGTGAATGTTTTTGGTAACATTCCTTAAGTCATTAATGCAATGCATGATGAGAAACTTTGTGGAATAATGGGTTATCATTGATTTTAGAGCCCATGGTGAATTTTATGGATTGATACTTAATCATGATAAATTGGTTGTGATAATAAATTATGTCATTTATTTTATTAGTACCTAAAGAGGAAGTCGGAGAGCAGAAAAAGTCTAATGATAAGGTAGTGTATACAACTTTGAGGTGGAAATTATTATATCATTCCTTCATTCACTCATGCAAGTTTTTATTCCTTTTTTCTTTCTTTCAGCATGTTGCCAGGACACTTTTTGAAGGAAATATTCAAGATATATCATCAGAAATGTCTGGTTTTTCTGTCCTAGAGTCTAGTAGTGAGCAAAATGACACACTATCTAAAACACTTTTGAATGAAGATAAAGAAACCTTTAGTAAACCTGATGATGTTGTTGAATTGGGAAGAATATTTCACCAGGAAACATCTTTAAAAGATGGCTCTTTGCTAAAGATGATTGATGCAATTGAGGATAGTTCTCTACATTTGTCGCAAATGGATGACCTTGCTTCATCTGATGTCTTACGAACAGAAAGAATAGGATTCTCTAGAGAGAGAAAAAATTGCTCATGTAAAGAGAAAAAATGTACCTGTTTTATAGATGGAAATGAAATACCAGTTTTGGAAAATAAGTTTGAAGAAGATGTAGAATGCCAGAGTGGCAATTCTCAGCCCTTCTCCTCATTATTATCTCCACCCACGTCATCAACTATGCTGCCACCTCCTGATAATACTACTAGCCCTATTGCATATTCACAAGAGGTGCAAAAGTTATTGGATTTGGTACAGTCTACTCCTAAAATACCTGGGAATATGGTTGAAACAAAGATGTCTAAAATAAGAACAGAAAAATGTGACAAAAATAGTAGTAAAAATAATATAATAGGTGATACACAAACATTTTCATTAAGTGGAACAAGTGATTTACTTGGTAATGAGGATTCTAGATCATCAACTYGTGAAAATGACAGTAAGGCTACAAAATCTTCATTTGTTTTGGAGCATGATTCCATGTCTTTTGATGTACTCAATGACATAACTTGTGCATTAGATATATCTTCAACATCAGCATCATCATTACCTCTTAGGGAGGCAATGGCTCTAGATGTGAACTTAAAGCCTCATTGTGGTAGTGACCCTAATGATTCCATGTCATTTCAAGTACTCAAAACTCCAGTGCTTTATGTACCTTCATCAGCTGCAGAATCATTTCCTGAAGAGAATAATGCTCAAGTTGGGGTCACAGAGTCTCATAGGGATTGTGAGGATAATAGTTTAATGCCGTTTGACATACCTTTAACTCCAAAGTTGCCATCATCATCACTTCCTACTAAGGTTGATACCTCCAAGCCTCATTGTGGTGATGAGGTTCATGATGTTTCATTTGGATCAATTTCAACTTCATTGGAGGAAGCCATGGTGGAAGAGACAGAGAAGGTTTTGATCAAAACAACAGAGTCTGCACCAGACAAGAAAACAGGTAGGTAACTTATCAAAATCAACCCTAATTATTTCAAACTGATTAAAGCTGTGCTCCGGGGTCATACATGGACTGTATAGCAGCTGCCAGAGGCTCCTTCACATGCTTTCAGTTTCAGCCACCCTGTTGAGCTGCATAACTGCTGTACTTGTCGTGGTTATTAGCGATAACAAGTTTTTGTTTTAATATTTTTTGAGACTCAACCATGTTCTCAGTGTTCAGCCTTTTGTCTATCAAATTTAGATATACAGTAATTCGAGTTAATAATTTCGAGATAATAATTTAATTTTATTCCAGCAGATCGATTGTCAAACACAGATGAGCACAGTAATGCCACAAAGCTTAAAACAATGAATTCTGGAAAACGAAAACAATTTAATGCGGAGACAAACAAATCAGAAGGGAACGAGAAATCAGCTCATATACTCTTGGGAGTCAGAAGATCCTCAAGATTAAAGCGGTTTTCTTATCCAGTATCGAGGAAACCTCTTGTGTCCAGAAACTCTATGGAATTGAAAGTGAAAAGGATTGAAGTGGATGCAACAAGCTGTGATTTTTCCAAGAATACATTAAAAAAGGAAAACTTGGATGTTGGAGAAGTGAAAATGGAAAAAATGTATGAAAGAGAGAAGGAGATCGGGAACATTGAACAAGTGGGAAAAAGCAGAGAATCTCAGAAATGTGGAGAAGAAACTTCTCACTCCAATACCTTTTATGCCAAGCAAGAGGACATTAATCAAACTGACAAGGAAACTGAAAGAAAGGGATGGTTGGAAAAGAAAATCAAGGCCCAGAAAAAAGTTCATTTAAGTATCTATGGAGCTGGATTAGATCAAATATCCTGCATTAAAAATAAACCAACATCTATAGCATCTAACATAAAGTCAAGGGATACAATTAATCTCAAAAATGCTACACCAGAAAATCAAGAGTCGATTCAGAAGGATATATCTACAAGAAGTGAAGATTATATCAGTGAAGACATGACAGATAACACTCTGATATCAATTCAAGAGGACTTTGATACCCCCAAAAAAGCGACATGCACTGAAGTGCTTTATGATATGGATGCATTAAGTCAGTTCCCAGTTGAGCTTTTATCACCTGTGCAACTAGATCCAGTACCTCAAACAAGTTGCAAGGACTTGGGTCAAAGAGAATGCAATACTAAACCATCAATAATGTCCGGGTTCAAGACAGCTGGTGGAAAAGATGTGACCATCTCTGAAGAAGCTATTAAGAAGGCTAAAGCAATGTTTGAAATGGAAAACAGAGAAGCTGATGGAATTGCCAATTCATCCATAACAGGGTTCAAGACAGCTGGTGGGAAAGATGTGGGCATCTCTGATGAAGCCATAAAGAAGGCTAAAGCAATGTTTAAAATGGAAAACAGAGAAGCTGGTGGAAATGCCAAGTCATCCATGATGACAGGGTTCAAGACAGCTGGTGGGAAAGATGTGAGCATTTCTGAAGAAGCCATAAAGAAGGCTAAAGCAATGTTTGAAATAGAAAACAGAGAAGCTGATGGAAATGCCAAGTCATCCATGATGACAGGGTTCAAGACAGCTGGTGGGAAAGATGTGAGCATCTCTGAAGAAGCCATAAAGAAGGCTAAAGAAATGTTTGAAATGGAAAACAGAGAAGCTAATGGAAATGCCAAGTCATCCATGATGACAGGGCTCAAAACGGCCGGTGGGAAAGATGTGAGCATCTCTGAAGAAGCTATTAAGAAGGCTAAAGCAATGTTTGAAAT